TATAATTGTAACACTGTTCTGGTCCTGCTCACTCCAGCTCTGAGATCCCGGCTGCTGAAAGCAGGGATCTGCGTTTGTTTGGGTTCTGTAATTGAAACAATGTATGCGGTCCTGCTCTGAAGCCCGGCTGGCTGAAAACTGGCTTTTGTTTTGTTTATCTTCTATATTTGTAACAATGTTTCAAACTGCAAGCTTAGAGGCCGGCAAGGCAGGCGGGGAACGTTGGAGTCCTCCGTCACTGAAGCAAGCCAGCCTCATGTTAGCTTCAAGCTGCCTGGCTGCCGGCCACCATCTTGGCTGGCAGTTAATTTGCATATCGCCCTGATTAGCCAATGGGAAGGGTAGCGGACATATGCTAATTACCATGTTTCTCTTTTATTAGATAGGATATCCTTTATAACATTTTGTCCAACTCCGGGTTGTCAAAACAGAAAGTTGGAAAACACAAATAAAATTTTCATATTTTGTGTGGTCACTGAGGAAAAACAATTAGATTCTTTTAATTTTTCACCCACTCTAAATACTAGGCTTTTAAAATTTCCCTGGCTCCCCTGACTGGTTTGGCTCAGTGGAAAGAGGGTTGGCCTGCAGACTGAAGGGTCCCAGGTTCAATTCCAGTCAAGGGCCTGTACCTTGGTTGCAGGCACATCCCCAGTAGGGAGTGTGCAGGAGGCAACTGATCGATGTTTCTCTCTCATTGATGTTTCTGACTCTCCGTCCCTCTCCCTTACTCTCTGTAAAAAATCAGTAAAATATATTTTTTTAAAAAGAAAGTGTTAAAATTTCCCTGGCTTAGTGGTCTTTATAAAGACCACTGTCCTCAATTCTAAGGGAATCAACACCCTAAAAACATCCAGGCAGGCAGGCTTTAGCAGTAATATCTGTGGCTTTAGCTCAAAGAAAGTTTAAGCCCTCTAGAAAAGGAAATACAGCTGGTCAGCATGGCTGAGTGGTTGAGCATCGACCTATGAACCAGGAAGTCATGATTCCCAGTCAGGGAACATGACTGGGTTGCAGGCTCAATCCTCAGTAGAGGTGTGCAGGAGAATCAATCTCTCTCATCATCCATGTTCCTATCTTTGTCTCCCTCTCCTTTTTTCTCTGAAATCAATAAAAATATATTTTAAAAAAGAAAGAAAAGGAAACACATACCTATAAACTCTGTGCTCCTACTGCCTCTATTTGTTACATCTTACTGTTTCCGTCAGAAAACAGTACTAACCTAGTCTGTGCATTTTTATTACTAGAGGCCCAGTGCACAAAATTCATGCACTTGGGGGGCCAGGGGGTTTCCCTCAGAGACTCCTGCCACTGCCATTGCGCTTGCCAGCCGTGATCCCAGTTTCTGGCTGAGCAGCGCTCCCCCTGTGGGAGTGCACTGACCACCAGGGGGCAGATCCTGCATTGAGCATCTGCTCCCTGGTGGTCAGTGTGCATCATAGCGACTGGTCGTTCTGAAGTTTGGTCAATTTCCATATTAGCCTTTTATTATATAGGGTTCTACTATTTTCACTTTTCAATAACAAAACAAGTACTTAGTATGGTACACAAATGCATTAAAATATAAAATATTTTAGCTTATAATCTTAAATGACCAAGCTTACTTAGGAGAAAAAAATCTACTCTGAGTCAGCAGAAACAAGATTCAAGCACCTAAGGGCTTCAAATTGGAATTAGCAGATGCAATATATACAACAACAGATATGAAATGTTCAAAGAAATAAACAAAATAAGTGGCATAAATGAAAACACGGTCACACAAAAATTAGTATACAAATATTCAAAACAATATTCATAATAGCTAATGCATTATAGCTGATGAATGGAAAAAAATGTGGCATTATCCATACAATGAAATATGATTCAGCCATAAAAAGGAATGAAGTACTGATATATGCTACAACATGGATGGCCCTTAAAAAGTACTATGCTAAGTGAAAGCAGCCAGGTACTACAGGCCACATAATGCATGATTCCACTTATATAAAATGCCCTGAATAGACAATCTCATACAGACAGAGGTAGATTAATGGTTGTCAGGGGCTGGAGGGAGGAAGAAATGCAAAGTATATGCTTAATGGGTATGAGGTGTCTTTATAGGGTGATGAAAATACTCTGGAATTAGATAGTGGTGATGGTTGCACAACACTCTGAATCTACTAAAAAATCACTGAATTGTACATTTAAAAATGGCTAAAATGGTGAATCTTTAGATAAAAACAACAGCAAGAAATATCAGAATATAACCTCCATCTCCTAGAACACTGACTAGTACATAATAGGTTTTCAACAAGTATTTCTGAAAGAATTAACAAGAATGTTATAATAAAATGAGACAGATCTCAAAAAGAATCAAATATAACTTTCAGAAATAAAAACACTCTGTGAAATTAGAAATTCTATGAATGGATTAAACAGCAAATTAGACATAGCTAGACAGAATTTATAAACTCGAAGATAGCTATGATGAAATTATTCGGAATGCAACACAGATAAATAAAAGTAGATGAAAAATACTAGTACAAGAGAAATTAATAAACATGAAGAACAGAATGAAAAGGTCTGACATATGCTGGTTCATAGTCTTAGAAAGACAGTCTAAAGAAAAGAAGGAGCCCTGGCCAGTTTGGCTCAGTGGTAAGAGTGTCGGCCTTCCGACTGAAGGATCGCAGGTTCAATTGATTCCAGTCAAGGGCACGTACCTCGGTTGCAGGGTCAATCCAATCCCCAG